GAGGGGGAGTACTCTTAATATAACCTCATATATTTCTGAAGTCAAAAAAACACATACATGAACAGTAGTTGTCTGGCATGAGAACGTCATACGATGCCAGTTCGTTTTCTTGCTAAAGGCTAACCGCTTCAGAGTAATTCGTGACGCCGACATATTCATTTCGGCAACAACATCATCCTGTAGGCATCTTTCGAACCGAGAGCTCAGAAACAGACACAAAGGACAATATCAGAAAACATCACTGAATGTGTTTGTCTCGTGACTTCTCTGAAGTTCCAGTGTAAACAATCAAGAATTCAACAGTTAGCAAAATGTAAGACAACTGAAAGCAATCGCTAAGCTAAAATTTCTCCTTGATATGCCAATCACGTTGTTTATTATTTATAAAGGTAAAAGAAAAACAGATTCATCGGAAATATTATTAGCGATGAGAGTGCGTTAAATGAATGATCGGAGCTCAGTATTTCAAATAACGATTATTTCTTATGTATATTCATGGATGAGTGAACTGCTCTCTCTCTTAGTTATTTACATCGGCAGTATTGCATTGCAGCTCGCTTGTATTATTTGATAAGAAATCAGTAAGTAATGATCTGCATTTCACTTATATTTGTGTGTATATGTATGGTACTGGGTATACCGAAAAATGTATAAAAGAAAAATATTAAACGACTAATATTAAAAGTCAATTAAATATTTTTCAATCTTATTTAAGTATTCTTCTATCTAAACTAATAAATATTTTTCTTGTTGTTAGACAGGAAAATATTAAAGTTTTTCGCCTAGAGTTGAAAAATATCAAATTGTTTTATTCAGATTTCATTAACGAGATTACGCAAAAAATGGTTACTAATTGTTACATAAAAAAGACCGTGGCTGTATGGTACACGAACAAAATGATTCCAATCACCTTTCATGTCTAAATTCGTTACAATAATCAGTTGCTTATTTCTGACATGCTTTTCCGCTATCTCAAATATAACATAACATCACGTTGGCTTACAGCCCACTTTAAACTCACTTTGTGAGCCAATAGGTAAACGTATGAATATTCTGGGCTCCCTGTTTCGATATCGATGAAACAGATATCGACTTTCGACTGATTGTTTTTTTTGCCAAGGTTTGTCATTATTTCATACGGTGTTGTACTTTTTTTTGCTCGTGTCTACAACGAGTCTATAATTTCTATATTGATTACGGTAAAGGTTCTTTCCTCACGGGAGAAAAAACTCTCTTGTTTCGATTATTTCTATTTTGGAAAACGTTTTCTTCATACTGTTGTGACTCCATTGATACGGAGAGCGTTAGAGAACGGCTTACTCTATCAGATACGTCGAGCAGGATACAGGCGCTTACATGAGCCAACGTGCCAAAAAACAACGTAACATATCAAAATACTTGCGGTGCTACATTCATGTGTTTCACTTGTGTTTGACGCTATTGAAAACGTTCTTTCCTCATTATTGTTCTTCTTCTATCGATCATTTCGGCAGTAATTTTCTCTACTACATCAATGCGTGGCAAGAATTTTATTTACTATACAGAGAATTTACTGATTTACAGATAAAATACAGTGTTTTCTGACATTCTGATGTAGATTGGATGGATTTTGCCTGAGTTATGAGTTTTTTAATTTTTGATAAAAATAATCAAAAATGGGTTATTTGACACCTATACTATCATATTTAATGTCTTTATGTCCATACAGTTGTCGGAGTAGAAAAAAGTAGATGATGACAATAATGTTGAGGTTCATTGCTTGACAATAGGAGGCGATTCAGCGGATTTGGAGTCTTCCGTCGGGTCATCTAGTTTTAAGTCGACTTTGAAATTAAAAATGAAACTAATCGATTCAGTACAAATCAAAGAGACGCAACGACTATGGATAATTTCTGCACGTGATAGTATTGCTGAAATAACTATCAACAAAAGTCCCACCAAAGACATGGCATTTCTTCCTATTAAGACTGAAACTTGGTATCCTGTTGTAAAGTACGCGTTTCCTTTTACAGTACATACATTTTTTATATTACAGCATGTCCATGAATAAGTCCACTTTTTGATCAGTCCGTTACGTTTTGGAATACTTATGGCTTTACAACAAAAGAATGTAAACGTCTGAGCAATGTCTTACTTTGTAGAGTAAACTGTCTTCTATGATATGACAATTAAATGAACTCTTAGACGCCACTATAAATAGAGATAAATTACCAAAAATCAGGTAAAAAGTGCCTTTTGGGTTACTCACTTACTGAGGTATAACTTTTGAAATAAATGTTCATGCGAGTTCGTTTGACTGTCTTGTCAAAGCAGACAGTTTACTCTGCAAAGAAGGACATTGCCCAGTCTATTACGATATTTCGTTGCGGAGCTATAATTATTACAAAACATAACGGACTGACTTTGTCTGGCTGGCTTACGTGGGCAAGCCCATTACAGTATCAAAATTCTCAAAACATTGTAAGCTTGTTTATTCTTTTTAGCTTGTTTATTGTTTTAGAATTAGAATGCATAAAACATTTAAAAATATACATGAACTGACTTGCCCAGCTCTCGCTTGCTTCCAGTGTTGTGACTTCTCCGCTTAAACTATTACTTTTTGAAACTTTTATCATGGTAAAAATGATTCATCATTCAGTTCTATACACAAAACACATTGAACATTTCTTTATATATTATAATAATAAAACAATATGGACGAAACACGGGAACGCTTCAATAGCGATTACTTTCAAACCAAAACACATTTCAAGTTCAACAATTTCAGTTCCTTCTATAAAAAAGGAGAAAATAGCCGTTCTGTAGTTCTCAAAAAGCTCTTTCAGGTGCTGTATTTAAGACTCTTGAGACATGTTGACGTTAATGGTTTTGAATCTCAATACAATGAAGATTAGTTTCATTTTTAATTTTCAAAGTCGACTTAAAACTGGATGACCCTCGACGGAAGACTCCAAATCTGCTGAATCGCCGCCTATTGTCAAGCAATGAACCTCAACATTATTGCCATCATCTCAGGAAACACTGTATTTTATCTGTAATTCAATCAATTCTGAGTAAAGCTCAATAAATGTTCATAAAACGAATTGAAGAAACTTTGGTTTCCAGAAACCTTCGGAACTAAGAGAGTATTTTTATCGAGTTTACGTACAGAATCAGAATCAACGGATATAATAGAGCGTTTTCTGACATTCTGAAGGAGATTGAATGAATGTTAACTGAACTATGAATTGTCTAATTTTTGATGAAAATAATCAAAAATGGGTTATTTCACATAGTACAGGTTTTCACTTTGGTGTTGCATTTTGTTCTGAAAACGAACATTGCCGCGAGATTCAACATTGTTGATAACCTATGTTTGGATATACTTTTAAGATACTCATGGCTAAGGATCGGCCGATAGGTAGGTCTTCGGAGAACCGCTGCAGTTTCTGAATCCTGGTAGATGGAGGTCTAGGACTTGTGCCGATGTAAAGAGAAGATGTTGCGCTATATTTGAGACGTTTTAAAGTACAGGTCATTATGATTTTTTTTGGGATGGAGATGCCTCAGTTTCTCTCTTTCTCTTCAAAAGTTATTCAAAAAACATCAAAGGGCACTATATTTTAAAATGGATAGTAACTAGTTTTTTTCTCTCGGAACATATAGCTTCCTCTTGCATTTCATCGTAACTACCAAGAAATTGTGAGCTTTAAAAGTAAGGTGCAGGCAATGCGAATTTCCAGTAAACAAATTTTTTTTCGAGTTATTTTACATCATTTGATAGAGCTTCAGCTGCTGATCACGAAAAACTACTTTTTAGCTTTAGCAAATACTTCCTTCCAATCAAAAAATACGAAATACTCAAAAGGTGTCGTTTTTCGAGAAAAACACATCTTTTTTTTGAATTTTAAAGACAAATTTTCCGTCTTTAAAATTCAATTCTTCATCATCAATATCCATTCGATATTCATCATCAGATGAATATCGAATGGAAAGACAAACTTTTGATAACCGACATTGGGGATCTTGCTGAAATGTGCAAGTCGAAATGTGACACGACAAAATCTTAGCACTTTGCTTTATATGTCGTTACGTTTCTTCAACATTAAATGGGAAGATGTCGATGAGTATTTGAACAGCATTGGTGACCGCGAAAACTTGTCATAAATGGGCAACAGTGTTTATCAAAGGAGATTATGAAGAGTTTTCAAATGATTTACGTGGTGGTAAACAAATTGATTCATTTTATGATACGTTTCCCGAGATTGAAGCAGATGCGAAAGCATTTGTCGTTGAAGCATGTTCAACAAAAGCATTTGTTCGTTCATGTACAGATCCAAGTTTTGAAAAAATGATAAAATTAATATCGGATGTTTGTATACATTTTGCCGAACGGAAAATTGCATTAGAATTATTCCGGTGTTTTTGGCGTTCAATCGAAGCATATTCCCAAGGTCAAACATATGCTGATGTATTAAAACTGCTTTTCAGTCAACTCTGCAATACAACAGTTCAATCGCATCGTAGAATATCAAATAAAACCATAAACAAATCTTAACGAGCATATTTTTCTATTTCAATGTGTTTATTTTGCATGTCCCCGTTCATATTAAATAGCCAAGCATGAACAGTGATTAATCTGTGTATTAAAGATCATAAAATATCGATTATATCAGAAAACTATGTTTTTTTCCATAGGGGATTTTCAGAGACCCTCCGAAGGGTCTCTAAAGATCTCAGAAGTATGTTCATTCGCTTTGTCAGCAGTTTTTACCTATATGGACAAATTTTCACTCAGTTTGGATGAAAAAGATGCATTTTATTTAAAAATGACCTTTCCCTTTATCCTATGGTATCAGTAAACACGATTTTTCTCGACAAAGAAAAGGAAAGAGAAAAAAAGCGATACGTAACTTTTTGACTGGTGGTATGATGAGTCGAATGAGATAAAATATTTGCCTCCATCGCTTGTGTAGAAAAACTAGATAGGTTTACAAAATCGACCTATACCTAGTGGACTCGACGAGATTCGAAGCGCCACCACCAATAGAGTTTTGGGTCTGGTATCAATTGAACAGCTTTTTTATATTCAGTTTTTGATGCTGAATCTGAAAAAATTATTTTCAGAAGCTGGAAAAAAGAGCGAAGTAGAGAATTTTGCATATTTCGAAAACGATGTGTTTTTCTCGAAAAACGACACCTTTTGAGTATTTCGTATTTTTCGATTGGAAGGAAGTATTTGCTAAGGCTAAAAAGTAGTTTTTCGTGATCAGCAGCTGAAGCTCTATCAAATGATGTACAAAACACGTGTTTTGGAAGCAAAAAGGTCGTTTTTGACTCGATAACGATCGAAATCGAGTTGCATAGCTAAAAAGGGGACCAAAGAATCTGATGGACACACTTACAAGGTCTCAAGAGGTTTTCGAGAAAACCTTTATTCAAAAGCAAATTGTGAACCATCTACATCAATAGTGAATCTAGTTCTGCACAAAATGAGACGTCTCCGAGTTTTCTAGGACCTTTGAAAGGTTTTAAAACATTGCTTCCAACAGAAAAAGGCCGTCGATGTTTCGTCTTTTTATCCACATTTAATTAATGAATTATCTGTTACTGTTCTAGCGCAAGACGCTGTTCTTTCTGGGCGTCCTAAAATAACATTTTCCGACAGAATGTATATTCTGACATGTGTTTTGAACTTTTTTAGAAATCTTCTGAACACCCTTCAAGTGTGTTTTTTCTTCAAGAAAAAAGATAAGCGAGCCTTTTCATGATCTAATTGGCGAACTTCTATGGATAAATATAGAAAATTATGGCCAACAGATAAGACACTATCGATCACTTCTTCTTCTTTTGCTCCTGCCAAACTAAAAAATAGAACATCATTCGTGTGATTAGATAACGCGACCTGTTGTAATAAAGAAAACACGATATATTTGAAAGTGGGATTTGTCACTCCTTAGAAAGCAACATGACTTTTTCGAGGATAAAGAAAACAAGAAAAACTAAAAGAAAGGGTGCTGTGACCATAGCATTATGAGAGAGGTTGAAAACTCGACTTTTTTTGCGCCAGACGGATCGAGCTGAAATTTTGGGAAATGAATAGTGACTATCACTTATACACTTTCTGAAAGTTTCACCTTTACATATATAATGGTTTCAAAGATAATTCCTTTTATAGTTGGCGCTAAGTGAATAGCGGTTATTCTCATTGAACGTAGCGCTTTTGAACGGGGGCAATTTTTTCGCGAAGAAAAGGCAGTGTCTAGCATGATTCTTGATGACTGAAAGATTTTTAGAGTATATAAGTAGGCTTCGCTTGGTTTTTGAGCGAAGTTTGAATAAGTATAGTCCTCTTTTGTTGGGTAGTTGCACAAGAGAAATCACCCTGAATGGCAATTCTACACAGTATAAGAAAGAAAAGAGAAAATATAGTTCAACTATAGAGATCAAAGGTACCGCTTACATTTTCCTTTCTTTTGATATTATCATTTTTCATTTTCTTTATTCGACTACAATGACTTTCCGGCTTTCTCTTCGGGCCACGGTAGTTTGATAGAAAGTTAGCAATTGTTCTTTGAAAGCTTCTTCGCGTTCAAGATGTTCACCAGTGCATATTAAGTAAATTTAATGGAAATAAAAGAAGTAAAAAGCTCAGGAACAGACAGAGAGATTATTGACAAAAAACACAATTATTAAATAACAGAGAAACAAGTAGAGCCAAAGAGGAGAAAGTGATTTCCACAAAAAGTAAAATTTGTTGAAAGCTTGTGTGATGGAGAGTCAATCGCTCCCATATAATAAATTGTAATCTATTATGCATGTCTTTTTGCACTACTGTGAGAAATTCTTGATTCTCGAGACGTCGACCACTTACACATGTAAGTACTCATACTGTTGTTTATGACGATGAAATTCTCCTCTAACCAAATACTTTTTATCAGTATCGTTTTATGTATCGAGAGCAAATATCACTATGTCGTCAGATTCATGGGAAGAAAATGCTTTAATCTTAGGTTGCGTTTCAAAATATATTGCGGTCCGTCGGTCGCTGTTCCTCTATTCCGCGACTATTCCTGTATTCCACTGTTACACAACATTCCATTTTATACACTTCTCAATCGCACTCTAGTACCTTGTGAATCGCCTTCTATCATCCTAGACAAGAATTTTTTGCTAAAACTGATAGGATTCTTATAAGAATCTTATCAGTTTCTTATATAAGATTTCCCATCGACAGTCGTAAGTGTCTTATAAGAATCTTATAAGATTTTCATAAGAGGCTCGTAAGAAAAACATAAGAAGGACCAAAAATTCTTATGTTGTTAATATGTACTAGAAGGCATCT